GGAATATAAACAGTTCAACTTTAGTAAGTCCCTTGTGATTCCTCTTTCCTGTTTTTCATCTTTTTTAGAAGCTTTTCACACTTCTCTTGAGTCTTGTATTGTCATATTTTCTATTTACCTCTGGTCTTTTCTCAAGAATGCATTAAATTTCTCTACATCATTGAATGTCAATTTTCCCCCTCATTGATTATACTCAGTTTTGCTGGGTAGGTGATTCTTGGTTTTAATCCTAATTCCTTTGACTTGCAGAATATCATATTCCAAGCCTTCTAATCCCTTAATATGGAAGATGCTAAATCTTGTGGTATCCTGCTTGCATTTCCACAATACTTGAATTGTTTCTTTCTGGCTGCTTGCAATATTTTCCCCTTAATCTGTGAACTCTGGAATTTGGTTATAATATTCCTGGGAGTTTTCCTTTTGGGATTGCTTTCAGGAGGTCATCAGTGGATTCTTTCAATTTCTATTTTACCCTCCGGCTCTAGAATATCAGGGCATGATTTCTTGAAAAATGATGCCTAGGCTTTTTTTTTTTTGATCATGACTTTCAGGGAGTCCAATAATTTTTAAATTATCTCTCCTGGATCTATTTTCCAGGTCAGTTGTTTTCCTAATGAGATATTTCACATTGTCTCCTATTTGTTCATTCTTTTGGTTTTGTTTGATAAATTTTTGATTTCTCATAGAGTAATTAGCTTCCATTTGCTCCATTCTAATTTTTAAGGAATTATTTTCTTTGGTGAGCTTTTGGACCTCATTTTCCATTTGGCCAATTCTGCTTTTTAAAGCATCTTCCTTCTTGGCTTTTTGGACCTCTTTTGCCATTTGGGTTAGTCTATTTTTTAAGGTATTATTTTCTTCGGTATTTTTTGGGTCTCCTTTGGCAAGCTATTGACTCATTTTTTAAATTATTTTCTTGCATCACTCTCATTTATCTTCCCATTTTTTCCTCTACTTCTCTTACTTGTTTTTCAAAATCTTTTTGAGCTCTACCATGGCCTGAGATGAATTCATATTGTTCTTGAAGGCTCTGGATGTAGGAGCTGTAATGTTGTCATCTTCCTCTGAATATATGTTTGGATCTTCCTTGTCACTAAATTAAGTTTCTATAGTCTGAGTTTTTGTTTTTCCCATTGTTTGATAATTTAACCACTCAATTACTTGACTTTTAACTGTTTGTTAAGGTAGGGCTCTGCTTCCAGTGTTGACGGTGTATTGTTCCAAGCTTCAGGGGTTTTGTGCAGCTATTTTCAGAAATACTTTTAGGGACCTGTAAGTTTTCAGTTCTTCCAAGGTGTTATGATCTAAAAAAAAAGGTATTTATTCCTCTCCTGGCCTCTGCTCTGTTCTGTGAGTGACCACAAGTACTCTTGTCTGCCCTGGAAGGTTCCCTCTATACTGCTTCTATGCTGGTACTCCTCCTCACACCAGGACTATCACCCAGGACTGCAACCCATATCCAAGTATGGGCAAAGCAGCAGAATCCTGCCTTAATGTTAGCAAAGAGACCCCTGTAATCACCTTCTGACCAGTTCTTACCATCTGTGGGCTGAGAGCTCCAGAAGCATCTGCTGTTGCTACCACTGACAGCACAGCTGCTGCCCCGGGCTGGGCTAGGGCTGGACAGAGACTGTACTCCTCTCTCACCCAGGTCTGACAGACCTTTCCTACAGACCTTTTAAGTTGTCATTGGCATTTGTGGGTTGAGAAGTCTGGAAACCACCACAGCTTCCATGATTCAGTCCCCTGAGGCCTGCTTCAGGTTGGCTGGGGCTGGGTATGTGCTGCTGTGGCCTGTGCTGGACTGTGTTCCTCTCTCAGCCTGGTGCAACAGACCTTTCCTATTGACCTTCCAGATTGTCTTGGGTTGGAAATTTGTTTCACTCTGTCTTTTTGTGGGTTCTGCTGCTCTAGTATTTTTTTAGAGTCATTTTTACAGGTATTTGGAGGGGCTTAGGGGAGAGTTCAGGTAAGACCCTGCCTTTACTCCACCATCTTGGCTCTTCCTCGATGTAATTCCCTATCACTCTTATTTAAAATGTGAATGTTGGACTAGGCTGTCCCTACAATTCCTTCCACCTCTAAACCCTTGATCCCATTAGCCTATGAAATATGGTGACATTTCTTTGGTTTGTTGACAGAATATATATTAATATTAGCACTTTTTCTCTTAACAGAGCATGTATAAATACATTTAAGAGGCCAACTTCTGTCAGAAAAGGTGCCTTCTTCAATTGCTATGACAAAATCTACATGATTGCTGTTATGTTCTGAGCTTTGATCTCACTGTTATGCGGTGTTGGTCTTACCAATTCAGAAGCTATTGAGATCTTAATGGAGAATGACATTAGGATTATAAAACAAAACAAAACAAAAACAAAAAACAAAACCAATAACAAAAAACCCACAAAACTTGTATAATCTTTGTAGGATATTCAAATAGTTTGTGATGAAGATAGGTTGTCTTTTTTTCAGAGGCATATGTTTACATATAAAGATGAATCTACTCAACAACCACCATTAGGATAGTGACTTTGCAGTCATTTTGATTGCTTATTGGTAATTACTTTGTGCCATTTGTTCCAGATATTGTGTTCCTTCTGGTTAAAAGTATTAGTTGTAGTCACAAATGGAATGTATTTCTGAGGTAGTTAACTGAGAATAGGGAAGCCAAAGCCTGTTCTATTAAAAAAAAAAAACAACCTTTCAATCCTGTCAAATATCAGACCACCCATACTCCCAGGAATATCTGGGAGAAGAGAACATAGCTGTCTTCCAGGTTTGCAAATAACAAAAATCAGGAATGTCTTTTGAATTCAGCTTTTCTTCATATTCTACTTTTAATCAATCAATAGTTCATTATGGCTTTATCCTGGTTGAATTTATTGAAATTCTTTTTTAACGTACTTACATTTTTAGACTGTCATATATCTGTGACATATGGCTATAAAGATATCCACCAGTATATAAAGACCATTTTAATTTGGTCTTAAAGTCATCCTGGGAAGTTTGAAAGGTCCCCCCATTTGAGTTTCTGGGATGCAATCAACTGATGTATAGCCTTATAATATTCATAAGTTTATAAACTTTAAACTGATCCTTCTCAGGTTACTTTCTAGTTGAAAGGCCCCTACAATAGTATCACAAGGCATAATAGAATTTCCTTCTGAACAATTATAGTCTGATTGATCAGGCATTTTTAGAGAGCTTTATTGAATCCCACCACTAGCCAAGGTAATATTTCCTAATCTCTTCTCTCTGTCCATACAGAACAACAATGACTCATCTATAATCCAGTTTCAGTTTCATCTTGATCATAACTGGTCAGGTTTATATATATATATATATATATATATATTATATATATATATATATATATATATATATATATAAAAGAAGAAAAAAGAGAAGCAATTTACTGGATGATATTAGGAGGTCAATTTCATAACCTTTCAATACTTGTTAGTTGTAAATTTTAGTCATGTTTATCCAGGATATCGAGTTGTTAAGAAAGGAATCGTAAATTATGTCAGCTTCTTCAGCAAAACCTTTAAGCTTAGATAATGATGTGGTTTTTTTCCTTCAAAGAAGAAAAATGGGAAAATGGAGAAGTTTTAATAATGCTAAGGCTGAAAACTTTCTTGAAAGTTAAATTTGTAGCTCATGCAATTAATTTTATAGAAATCCAAAAATGACAGAATCTCATAGAGTGTGATTTTTTTTCCTAGTTCCAAAGAGGTTTGTGTAAGACTCTCAGACATCTGACCTCATCATATCTACTTGCAGTTCCAGTGAATTTGATAATCTTAATTCATTGAATTGAATGTAATATGATAAACAAATTTGAACTGTGAGATTTCAGAGAATCTCAGTGTGTATCTTCTTTCTTTTTTCCCACTATTTTCATTTCACAACTATGTGAGGCACTAAGAAAAGAAATTAAGATTATAGGGTCAGGGAATGTAAGTGATTTCCCAAAATTGCTCTCAACGGTCAAGTTGCAAACTAGAGAGTCTTATCAAGTGATACAAGGGTCACAGAGGCTTTCCTTGTGTCCAGGGCTTTGAATAGTTTCATCTAACACACAGCTAGTGGATTGAATGCTGGATGTGGAGTGAGAGAGATCTACAGGTGAACTTAGTTTTATGACTTTGAGAGAGTCACTTAACCCTTTTCAGTCTTACTTTCTTCATTGTTAAAATGGGGACAATATTAACACCTACCTCATAAAGTTGTTAGGAGGATCAAAGGAATAATGGATGTAGAGAACTTGGCAAAAGAACTATAAAATATCAACTGGTTATAGTAGTAGTAGTAATAAAAAACATATTTGATGCAGGTGACTTCTAATATGAAAAGGATTAAACATTTATTAAATACATACTTTATAATATTTTATAAGTATTATCTCAACTCTTCGCAACAACTTGGGGTGGTAGGTGGTTTTTTTGGCCCCATTTTACAGTTAAGGGAACTGAGGCAGACATAAATTAAGTGGTTTACCTAAGTCACACAGCTTGTAAGTGTCTAAGGCTGAATTTGAACTTAGGTTTCCTGACTCCAGGCCTAATTATTTACCTATGAAGCTACCTTGCTACCTCCTTATGACAGAAGAAAATGGGCTTTAAAGGATAGCATAGTGAAGACAACAGTATAAAATCATTTAAAAGAGATGATAGAATGCAAAGTAGTGACAGCAGGGGGAAGAGTACTATTCACAGAATCAAGAGATTTAGATTCTAGGAACGGATGTGCTACTAAATTGCTGTGTTTGTCCTAATCCTTTCAACCTCTCTAGGATTCCTCAGCTGAAAAATGCAGGTTCAACTAGATCTTTGAGGACTTGCATTGCTCACCATTCTGTAGGCATAAAATGTTCAGAAGCAGGGAGCTGGTTCTTTTAAAGACCTGATATATCATTACAAATTTAAATTATGCCTAATAGATGCTATTTTATAAGGCAGGGAAGTGTGCAATACATTATTTTTTTTTCTTTTCAGAACGATCAAAATAAGGCCATCATTCTGTGTTTAAAGGAGGTAAGCTTCAATTATCTGGAAATTCCATTTCAATGGAAAATCTCTTTCCTGGCAGAATTCTATGTGATTATTTGATTAAATTCAATTACAATTTAATTAATTTCAATAAGCATTTGTTATAAGAATATTAAATGTAAGGCATTACACTAAATGCTAGGGATAAAAATAGCAACAAGAAAGCAGCCCCTCAAGGTGCTGATGTACTTCTGGAAAGATACAGGATGTACATAAGAAGGTAAATACAAAACAATGTGAGGAATAAGAGAACACTAATACACAAGGGGATCAAGAAAGGCTTCTTTCAAGAGGTGCCACATGAGGTTAACCTTGAGGGAACCCAAAGATTCTAAGGGGAGGATCATCTTAGGACTGAGACAAAGGAACATAGATGGAAGATTGTCTGAAACAGAGTTAGAAAAAGTGGTTGCCTGCTACCAGGATGCAATTCCATATAGGTTAATGCAACATAATTTACTTAAAGACTTAAAACAATTTGAACAGCTTTTGGATTTCAAACAGGTAGCTACAGAAAAGTGTGACAGAAAAAAAACACAAAAGAAAGTGGAATAAAGCATAGGCCACACCCCAGAAATGCTACTTTGACAATTTTATTTAGATTTCAATATATGAAGATAACACTGGTCTGTGTGCCTATAGTCTTCTCAAGATTACATATAACAAGTGTCTCTCAAGTCTTTACAGCAAGTATACATAATGCATAGTAACTCAAAATGCATATGTATTTCCCTTCCTGCATAAAATGATTTAGTTTAATGATTTAAATACTTTAAATTTTAATGATTTAGTTTAGTTTAATGATACCCAATCCCTTCCAAAGAGGTATAGTAGATATCATCCTACAAATGTATGATTGGACAAGGAAGGCAAGTTGCCCATCAGGCAAGCTGAAGGATACTAGATGGATAAACTATAGCACTGTAGTGGTACAAACAGAATGATAAAATATCTAGAGAATAGCCTCTAGTTCTTTGTATGATGTCCAAAAGAATTTGGACAAGAATTAGAGGTGACATGAAAGTAAGGATAGGTCACTATCTGTAACATTAGAGGAAATAGCCACATCAAAAAGATCACAGATCTATTGACATATCTGCATTCATATAGTACTTTATGATTACAAACATTTTCATATATATCATCTCATTTGATCTCCACAATAATCCAGAAAATGTAAGTGATTCAAACATTGCATCCTTATTAATGCTAGTTAAGTGGCATGGTAGATAAAATGTGTGACTATGAGTAAGGATAGGCCTGCATTCCAATCCTGCTGTAGGAATTTATTAGTTATGTGGCCTTGGGCATATTGTTTAATACATCTGCCTCCATTTCCTTATCTGTAAAATGGGGATAATAATATTACGTGCCTCATAACATTCTTGTGAGGATAAGATGAGATAATTTGTAAAATGCTTTTCTAACATTAAAGTACTATGTAACTTCTAAGTATTATTTAATCAATAAGGAAACTGAAGCTCAGGGAGCATATTTGACTTGCCTAGGTTCACATGGTTAGTAAATAAATTAACTTGGGACTCACAAGTCTGTTCTTTTCATTAAGTTTTTTTTTAAATAAATGATTGCTTTTCCAGTTTCTTTATTTTTCAATTTCTTCACCTATCGATAATAACCTATGTTATCATTCATAGTCATATTTATTGTGAAAACAATATAAGCTTTTTAGAAGAAAGTGATGATTTATTATTTTCAATCACTATGAATATAGCTTTTGATAAAGTTTCCTTCTCTTCCTGTGACTATTTTTGATAACCAAACACTGATCAGAAATGTACCAAACAAGTAAGCAATAGAATTGAATGATTTTGCCTTGAAGTATCTTAATGACCTAAATCAGGATGTCCTATACTTTCTAACCAAAAATAAACATCTGGCTTTTAAAAAATTTCCCCTCTATACTGTAAATTGAATGCTTAGCCCAGTAAATCCCCATTTGGTTTATGATTGACAGGATTAATTAAGTTGCTTTAATTTTGTTTAGTTTGGGCTCCTTTATTAAGCAGTAAAGTTTATTAATGTTTACCTTCTCCCTCTCTAGTATTGCTCTTTTTATTCCTCATTCCATTTCCTCCCCTTTCAGCTCTCTTCCTCTCCCCAACATCTTTGTCTTCCCTCCCTCCATTTTGGATATGACTGTATTCATATCCTATGGATCTGTTGTTTTGGGAAACCAAAGGTTCAGAGAGATGGTGCTGACCTTTCTCTACTCAATAAATTTGTTTGATGGGGTCATCATTTCAAATCTTTATTTCCTTGTTTCATTTGTAATGGACTACAGACAAAACTATTTGAGAGGGAAGCAGATGATTACTGGGACGGCAGTTATGCAATTCATCTCTAGGCCTGTACTCCAAGTCTTTTTAACTTGGTTAGGACCTGGCCCAGCTTACATCCTGCTGGCATAGCTTCTGAGAAACCAAGTTCATCACCACCCTTTAGACATCAGAGATGCATAAAGACAATCTGCTAATAAACAAACAAAGAAAGAAACAAAGAAACAAACATACAAATAAATAAATGAATGAATAGATAAATAAATAAATAAATAAGTGAATAAATAAATAAATAGATAAAAGGATTATGATTGGCATTGATGGGAAGGGAAACCAACTAATGAAACTATAGCTTTTCCCCAGGGATTGAATGAGTTAAAGGTAAATTCAAATGCTTTGTTTCTGTCTTGTGTTATCTTAAATTTTCTTTTTAACAGGGAGAGAAAATAGAAGAGAGGTGAGATGACCTATTATTTCCTGTAGAATTTTACTTTGGCTTATTTCAAGCCAAATTTCTTCTGTGTAAGGACTTAAAAGAATTGTACCACTGACCAGGCAGTGACCTTAGCTTTAATCTTGATGATGTTGCTTATTATGAGTAAGTTGTTTCCCCACTTTGGGCCTTAGTTTCCTTATTTGTAAAATGAAATGATGATCTCTATGGTCCCTTCTTTATGTCTATATGTCTAGGCCAATTAGTAAGTGATATTCAGTTTTCTAAACAAGATAGAGACTGAAATCTCCCTATACTCTAACATGGCCTCAGAATTTCTATATAGAACAATCATTGGGTTTCCTATTAAATTCAGGCATATTAACACAGAGAGACGTATGTGTGCATGTTATCCAATTAAATGCAATTAAACTCCCTGTGAAGTTTTGAGTTACCATAATTATTCCTCACAGCAAAGCTTCACATATCTCTTTTACCTCCCATGGACATTTTGTATTGGCTGGTGTTGCGTTTCATGGTACCCTGTAGTAATTGAAAATTGCTTACCATTACATTTATTTACCAATAAATCACTTGAATGGCTAGAGTTAATTTTAGAGAAGGGTGGGTGGGCTGAAGTATTGAAATGCTAGACAAATATACCTATAGACCTTTATGCATAGTCTTGTTAAGGCATTCTAAAGAGATCTCCTTCCTCTCTGAGCTCCAATGTAATATTACTTAAATAAAAAGGCATGCTAAAAGATCAAATACTTGGGAGATTCACTAATTTCACACCATTTTCCAAATGCTTTTGCATTTACTCTCTTTTTCCTCTTAATTTTTTCACATGCAGTATAGAGAGGGAAGAAATTTTTATTCCATTTTTACAATTACAAAAACCATGAGAAAGGCATTTAAATAACTTGCCCAAGGTTACAGTTCTCAGCTGGTACTAAATGACTTCCCTCTATGAATAGTATAAGGAAAAATCAGAACTCTGATTCCTGAGATGGTGCATAGATAATGGGGACTGATCATTCCCCCTTCAAGGATTACTACCAATTAGATGGCAGAACAAACAGAGGCCATTAGATATTGCAAATGACAGAATATGGTTATCCCTTCCACATCATTGGGGTTAGTGGCATAATGCCCTGGAAGTAAAATTTTTGGCTCTCCTTTGTACCACAAAAGTCTGACTTATTATGGTATTAAAAGATAAAATATGTTGATATTATACTATACTGTACATATATTTTATGCATTTTGAGTTTTTAAACATTCTATATTCTGCTGGCCTTTGCATGTTATCTGCAGCTTCTGCAAAACTCCCCCAAAATTCTCATTTAATTTGTTATGCTGACCCATGATATATCAAAAACATCATGGGGAAAATTGTGATGTAGAAGTGATAACTGTAATATAAGTATCTATTAAGCATCTACTGTATGGCAAAAAAAGTAGAGAAGAACCACAATATAGGGAGATATTACAAAAGAAACTATCATTGTAATCCTCTAAATGCTCAGATTGTTAAACAATGAGGAGGAGGTAGAGATTCTGTATGGGCTCTCCAAGGTCTGTAGTCTGTTCTTCATGTCCCAATTTGCCATCTGTGCTAAAAGAATTCTTGCATCACTTGCGACCTTCAACAGCTTCTAGGTCCTTCACTGGTTTGAACAGCTCAGTTCTACTCCACATTCTGAGGGAAGCACCTGGCACTTTTGAGTGACAACTATAGTTTTGCAAACCTCTTCTAAGAAGCAACTTGAAAAGAAAAAGTAACCAGAAACCCTTAGACTGGAGATACTTTGAGAGAACCATAATGGTACCGAATTCGATGATTCCATGCTTCTAGCTGCTTCCTTGCATCTCTTCTGCTATACAATAAAGCAGGGCAATGGCCACTCTACTCTTCCTTAGCTCAGAATGCATTCTCATAGGGAACCCTCCCAATTAAATCTAAATTAATTAATTTAGCAGAAATGTATTGAGCCTCTACTATGTTCAAAGCGGTGTAGTGCCTTTTTTGGATCATAAAGAATAACAGAAGCTCAGAGATGAAGAAACCTTAAATGCCATATAATTCAACCCATACCCCAAATTTCGTATAAAATTCTCTCTTCAAGACAGTCCAGCAAATGGTCAAAATGGGGATTTACTTGAAGAAGGAAAAGTAAAGGAACAAACATTTGTTAAGTGCCTATCATGTTCTAGGTGAGGTATGTTAGAAATACTTCAATTAATTCAATTTCAATAGCAGAATTGATTCTCACAGCAACCCTATAAGTTAGATGCTCTTGTTATCCTCAATTAACAGTTGAGGAAATTGAGGCAGAGAGACATTAAATGACTTTCCCAGAGTCATATACCTAGGAAATATCTGAGGTTCTATTTGAACTCATGTCTTTCTGATCCCAGGCCAGAGCTTTATCTACTATACCACTGAGCTGCCATTCATTTAGTGAGGGACCCCACTGCCTCAAGATATGAACATTCTATTTTTTCCATTGGTTTAAATGAGAGGAATTTTTGTGTGTTTTTCTTAAAAACAAAATTTGGGTGAAAATTTGCCTCTTTGCAACCTGTACCCATTTCTGCCAGTTCTTCCTTCTAGAATCAAGAAGAATAGAATCCCTCTTCCACATCACAACTCTTCCCATGCTTTATTTAACACAGTCATCAAGTCCCTTCAGTTTAAATATTCCTAATTCTTTCATCCTGTCTTCATATGTACTATACCCAAGGCCCTTTACCATCTTGATAACCCTCCCCTGGATGACCTCTAGTTTATTAATGTCATTTCTAAAATTTGGAACCTAGACCTGAGCACAATATTTCATGGGGTCTTACCAGGGCAGAGGAAATCAGGATGATAATCTTATTAAGTAAACTGAATTGATCTGTGATATTGTATACAGGGCTTTTTATTATTGAAAAAAAAATTCAAAAATAAAGCATCATTTTAGGAGATACTTGGTCACCTAAACTTGCAGAGGTCATGAAAAGCATAAATAAGCAGGCTGCCATGAAGGTAATTCCATTTTATACTCCACAGATGTTGAAGAGGATATATCAGAGGAATCTCATAAAATTGCAATAAAATTGCCAAATTAAGTCAATATCTACCTCCGTCTCCCAAATCTATAGTATTAAGGGGGGTGGCAACAGCAAAACCTATGTTAGAAATGCAGTTCCAGACTCTGTGGAACAACAGAAATCTTGGAGTCAGAGGACTTGGATTTAAATACTACATCTGACACTACTACATGTGTGATCTTGGAAAAGCCACTTTACTTGCTCTTGGACCCAGTTTCACCATCTGTAAAATGACAAGGTTGCACTAGATGTCCTCCAGCTCTAAATTTCAGATTCTGTTAATGGAAAATCCTTTCCAGTTCTAAATCTGTGATTTCATGTTTGATAAGAATCCTAGGGTGTTCATAATTGACCAAAACAGATTTGCAATTTACTTTTGATAACCATTGTGGGTCATTAAAGGTCATTTTGTCTTGACATTTTTTGTACAAGGTCTATATTTAAACAATTGCCAAGTGTTAGTTAAGTAGCAAGATATCATTTCAGTGGTTATTATAGGAGAGGGCCTATTGGGCACACATATGGGGGGGGTTGCTTTTGAATTTACCTGTCACTACTCAGTGGGAACAAAAAATTATAAGATCCCTCAATTTAGGGTGAAAACAAACCAATCAGCCATTGCTCTGTGGTTTGCCCTGTCATGAGGAGGTGTAAATAAATAGTTTCCTGCCCTATAAAAATTAAGATCCTTATTCTACTCATATTTTTCTCCTGTAGTTTTATTCAAAATTACATGTTGACAAAGTGCTCTAAAAATCTAAAACCAAACAGCAATTTAATTTAGTTAGTGAAGTAAAAATTAATTGCTTTTTTCTTTTCTTTTTGTTGATAGCTGAGGAAATCAAGAAATAACAAAGAATCAGAAAGATAGGAGAAGGTCAAGAGAAAACCTGATATCAAACTGGGACATCAGCAACAGACTATAGACCTGGGACTGCTGTAATGTTTGTCTGGAAGGACTGCAAAGAGACTTGGGCTGAGTGAAAATAATTGCATGCAAGCCAGAAGAGTAGGAAAAGGTACAAGGAAGCTGGTGACTGTTTTTGACAAGATATTGCTTAGCCATGGAGAGAAGATTGATTCTGCAGTCAGAGAACCTCAGTTCAAATCCTGTCTCTGACACTTGCTATTTGGGCAATTTTGGGCAAGTCATTTCACTTCTGCAAGTCCTCAGGTCACCTACCTGTAATATGACAACACTGAGCAAGAAGGCCTCTGATGTCCTCTCAGTTCTATATCTCTCATCATATGACCCACTTGTAGATATCAATTGTGTTCAGTTACTGTTTGTATTGACAATTAGCAACTTTTGGTCAATAGCAAGTATTTTAAGTCTAATAGGAATTATTAGTCCAAAGCATGAAAAGAAATATGAAGTATTATTGAGTGAAGAAAGCAAAAATAAAAGTGAAAAATGTTCAAACGGAGAACTATGTAAAGAAAATAACAAGGGAAAAAAATGCTCTCTGTGGTCTCTCACGTGCCTTCTCTGAGATTCTATGACTTTGTTAGACAGATCAGTATTACATGCAGGGTGGTTAAAGCAAACTCTGAGTCTCCAACAGTGATTTTGTGATTTATCAACAGCAACTCTGCACAGGCAGAGTATTAAATGTGTCTAAAATATGTGGTAGAGAGTGAGGAGCTATTTTAGATTGGGTATACCAAATACATGCGGTGGTAGTATTTGGGAAATGTGGGTCCTAAGGTATGAGTTTTTTGTACTTAGTGAATTTTGTCTATACCAAGAAATGCATCTTGTTTCTCTGTTTCCTGCAGGTTGTAAGCTCTGAAAGTTCTATTAGTAATGGCTGCCCAGGACTGTGGGAGTGCCTGATCAGAGATAAGGGCAATCAAATCACCTGGGAAGACAAGTAAAGAAAGAATTGTCAGTCAGGCTTAATTGATTCTTAGTAAAGCACCCTTCCTGAGATATTACCTTCCAACAGGGTGTTAAGAAGAGGAAAAGAGCTTCTGATGCTTAGGTAATTTGCACCTTCCCCCTTTTTAAACCTAGTTCTCTTTTAAGAAAAGTTAGAAAGTCGATACGCATTGATGAAGTCTGGTTGGGTGTTGTTGTTGATGTTTTTATGGTGGAGGAGAATAAGACCAATGAATTCCTAAATTCCCTCAGCAAAGGGCTGCCTGTGACTGATCAAGAGTAACAGGATATGTTTCCTCTGATTTTATTTGAATTTTAGATACAGTCCTCTACTAATATAGGTTAGAGCAGAGGAATTAAACAAATTGTTTGAGTTTTCAAACAGCTTTTTCAAGATCCTGACTAAAGATGAATCACTAACATCTGTATCTCAGTGGACCCCATGCCCCACCCTAGCCCTCACAAAAGCAACTCCAGGCAAAAATAAAGTAAAAGTAAAGTAAAATTTTAAAATATGAGTAATAGTTAAATAAGGTGCTAGGCCACAAAAAATGTCTGGGTTTTTGGCTAATATATATTTTTTTGATGACTAGAGAGAATGATATAACTATTTTCCTTCAAAGACATTAGCTGATTTTGTTGGAGAATACACATTGAACAGGGCATCCTTTCATGATCTATAACTTTAAAGTGTTTTAAGTAGGTCGGGCTATAGATTAATAGGAGGTTCATAGGAAGAAGATCCTATCTACTAGTGAGAAAAAAACCTCATCTTTCATCTCCTTTAATGTTGTACTTGGAGCTTTCCCATTTCCATTATTAGCCAGTTTTGTTTTAAAATGGTGTTCTATTTTTATATCAGGTCTAGACTGTATCACAGAAACATCCATTACAAGTATTATTTTGGCAGCTTCATTGTGTTCCTTTATTACAGCTCCTAGGAAAATGGCCTTGGCAAGGTAATTTCATGTGTGGAAACGAACTCCATTGAAAATATGAAGTAATCTCTAATATTATCAGGCAGTGTTAGCTTTGGTTTTAATTCTTTTTTTTTAATCCTCCTTATTCTACCTTTTTTAATTTTTCAAGCAAAACAACCACATAGTGTTCTCTTCTTTTCTTACTAATTTTCTTTTCTGATTTTTGAGTGCAGTTTGTGTAAAACTGTAAGTACTGTGTGCATTAGCAATCGAAGGGTGGGTAGAAGCAGCCTTCTGAAAACAAATTGAAGAACCTTGAAGGCTAGGGAGGGTGGATAATTTCTTGATATTTGAGAAAGTAACAGTTAATGCCATGGTACAGACTAAACATGAAAAGTGGGCAATGTGACCATGAGTCTCTTAGAAGCAAAGTCATTGTTTGGACTATTGCTAAAAAACATAGATCATAAGTGAGCATTGTACTTACATAGAAAATCATCATTTTCCCCCCAGAAAATGTAGGTATTAAGTAGTTTACATAGGTCAGAGCTGAGATTAAATCCCTCAAGTCTTTGTTTGTTGTTCAAACTCTCCTCATATATGAAGTATGTACTCATTTCATAGCTTAGAAGGATCATGAGTTTCATCCTAGTAAGTTGAGTGGAGAAGGGGGCATAGATTATTAGCAAAGGCAGTGTCTTTGTACTTAGAAAACCTGGTTCAAATTGATTTCACAAACTGTGTGACTTGGGGCTGGCACTTACCCTCTCTGATTATCAGGTTCCTTATCTGTAAAATGAGCTAGTTGGATCCTACATGATCTCTGAGATAGCTTCCATTTCTTAATCTTGATTCTGTGATCTCAATTGAGCTAAAACCAGAATGTGAGATAATAAAAAGAACACTAGACTGGAACTCTTGGTCAGCTACTAACTAGCTGTGTGACTTTGTATATTTTTGTTTTACCGGCAAGTCTCAGTTTCTTCACATGTAAAATGACAAGGGTAGATTGGGAAATCTCTACTCTTCCTTCTGATAACCTTTTTTTTTCTTCTTTTAAAAGACTGGATTTGACCTTCCAAGAAGGTGAATCACCTGAAAAAAAGGCAACCAAGCAGCTCAGATATTACTTCATCTGATGCCAAAGGGTGAGAATTGAAAAATCAAAAGTGTAGTTCATCTTTTTCTGTGAAAAGTGGAAATGAAGTTTAAGAAGGTGACACTATTATCTGTCAGACTATGTTTACTTAATTGCTCTTGTCTTAACACTGTTTAGAAGAGGCCATTTTCTTCTCCTAGAGAACTGATAATTAGCTGAATTCAATCAGGTCCCATGTTTTCTATAGTGGGGTTATGCTGGGTTGCTTCTTCAAGTTTTATCCTGGGCAGAACACTGACTGGCTTAAATCCTCCTGCAGAGATGATATTAAGTGCCTAGAAGAGAGAGTAGTCTATATGAAATCAGTCTCTTCAAAAATGTGATTCTGATTTACTTGTTCTGGTTTTAAATTTTAAAACAGCTAGAAGGGCCAGGGAGAGAGAGTGAGAGAGAGAGAGATTGAGAGACAGACAGAGAGGGGGAGAAGAGGAGGGAGGTTTGGCTCCAATAAAATGTTTCCATTTTTTATTCCAAAAGTTCTTCCATGTAGAAGTATAGCATTAATTCCCAACCAGCACTCATTGACATACTGCTGAGTGGACTAGGGCTATTTCTTTTCTTTTTTTTTTTCCCTAGGAAAGATCACTTTCCTCTCCCTCCATTTAGAGAAACTCGGAAGGATTCCTGCATTGTTGCCTTTTACCTGTTGCCTCTACCAGCCTCTCATGCCTGGATGCTCTCACTCCTCTCTGTCTTTTTCTTTGTTTCTGTCTGTCTTTGTCTCTCTGTTTCTTTCTGGCCTTTTCACCTCTTTTAAAACTTAAAATTGAAACAAGAACATCAGAATAATTTCAAATAAACTACCTTCTGTACTAGGTACTTAATTTCATCTCTGCAGGAGGATTTTAGCCACTCAATATTCTGCCCTGGCTTAAATTTAAAGAAGGGACCCAAAATAACCTTACTATAGAAAACATGGGACCCTAATGAGTTCACTTAATTTTAAGTTCCCTAGGAAGAGAAAATGGCCTCTTCTAAGCAGTGTTAAGGCCAGAGCAATTAAACATAGTCTAATAGATAATTGCCACTTCCTCAAACTTTATTTACATTTGTTGCAGAAAGAGATGAACTACCATTTTTTATTTTTACCTCTTAGATCCTCTAATTACCTTCAAAGCTCAACTAAAATAGGATTCATATCAGACCTTACCTGAAAGTTACCACTTCAGCTATTACTGTCTTCTTACTCAAATTACCTTACAATATATATGCATATGCATACATATGTGTATATATGTATGCATGCATGCACGTGTATGTATAGTGGCATATATACATATACACATACACATATTCATATGCATATGCATATATATATACACATACATGTATATAAGTGTGTTGTAGACACATATAAAATAATTTTAAATCCTTTTAAAATTTCTTCATTCTTTTCCCAGAAATTTTAATTGAGCCAGTGCCCAAGCTGTTTTTCTTTGAGGCCTTGTATGTATGTATCTTGGAGTCATTTCCTTTTTCTGGGTCTATGTCTTGAGTGTCCTTATCAACATAATAGCTATTTATAGTGTGATTTTTTTTTTTTGCTTATCTAATCATTCTTCCAGCCTACTTCCTAACTTTCCACTTTATATTAGGGTCATACTCTGTACTCATCTTGTGCAAATGTCTGGATTGAGGTTATGTCCTATTGAGTCCTTCTGCTGCACTTTGGAGAATAGATTATTGTGTTATTCTAGAAACTCAGAGTTGTCTCAGGTTGAGGACCTACATCCTTTCAGTACTCCCAAAAAGGTTTACTCCCTTGTAAAATCTGATTAAAGTCCTCCTTGTCTGAGTTCAGCAAATTCCTCTCCTGGTTTTTTTCTGGGCAACAAATATGTGAGCTTCTCGCTAGTTGGAGTTTCAGTAGACTGCTATTGGACTCGTAGATTATCAGACAGCTAGGAAGCTCTATAGGTTCAGAGTGACAGAACTGCATTTTCCCTTTTGGTCTGGGATTCCGTGGTTATTCTTCTGCAGGCTTCAGATGATCTTTTTAACTGGAACTGAGACTTCTCCGGGCCTGGGGTCAGTAGCACAAGTACTCTTTGCTTCTAACCTTGTTCCTTCTTCAGTACACAGCCTCGGGCCTGTGATCATTCTTATCCCAGAACATTACCCCTAATCAGTCTTCCCTGGATCTGTGACCCTGAGCTGGGTAATGAATAACAGAACTGTCAGCTGGCAATGGTTCATTCATCCAACAAAAGGCCAAGGCTCCCCTGTATCAGTCTGGAACCTTTCTCTTTTTTTTTCTTTTTGGTACTGTTGCATGGCCTTGTTTTGCTTTCAGTTTCTACACTGGAAGGTTCCTGTGGCATGTTCCTGACTATACACCAATCTCCAGTGTCCACAGACTTCACTATCTATCTCCCTATGCTGACTTGGGCCAGAAAAATAACTGTGATTATTTTTCTTGGATTTCCCAATAAGGACTTTTCTAGCTCATTTTCTCTACCTTCATGGAGGACTTGTTTTGGAGAGTTTGTCTATATTTTTTTCCTGTCACTCAGCCATCTTGGTTCTTCCACCAATTTCAGACACAGACACACACACTTGTGTGTATGAGTACATATGTGTGTTTATATAACATGTATGTGTATATATTTAAATAAAATTTACTCATTTACTTATTTTAAAATTTATTTAGATATGTATTTATTATTTTCCCAGATAAAGACTGTAAGTGTGTTTAATTCAGTGGCTGCTATATATTTGTTTTTGTAGCCCAGTGCCTTATACAATGAATGAATGCTTACTCATTGTCTGATACATTTTCCATAATGAGAGACAAAGCAGTAAAAGACTTGTTAAAGTAGAATTATGAAAGAGAAAATACTGACATTAGAACATTAGGGAGAAATTAAGAGACTACATATTCCATGGATATGCCAGTGCAAAGGAAGAAAATGTATAACCATTGGCAGATGAAGCCACAAAATAGCTGAGCTTTTTTGTTTGTTTGTTTGTTTGTTTATTTGCTTAATAGATTATTTAACTTCTGTATAGACTAATTCCCAAAGAAACTCCCTCTTAAACCATTCATATTCTTCTCAGCATATATATCTTTATATACAGATTAGTCTATTACTGCATGTGTCCTTTCAAATGCGAAATATCTTGATACTATATGGCTTTATCCTTTTATATCTTAAGCAGAAGATCAAATACCAGATGATTTCAGTATCAACAACAACAACAACAAAAAGAAACAACCCACTAATAAATTGAAGTGTTAGCATTTCATAAGAACCTCTTAATTTCAATTAATCAACATTTTTTTAATACTGTCTACAGTGTACCTACCTAGTGACATCCACTATGGAAGAGAAAGAGAAGGATGAGGTATAGCCCCTTTCCCTACAGGAATTTAGGCCAGGATATAAAAGGTAGATAGAGATAAATGTTAACTAACAAGTCAGCATATATGAAGTGCTAATTGAATAGTAATAGATAACAATGCAAAAAAGCCACTGAATTACTCAATCTCATCTACCAAGTACTTATTAAGCATGTCCTATGTCCAAAGCACTGGTGCTGGGGACTGGTGACACACAGGCAAACAACAAAAATGCTGTTGTTGTTGTTGAATTATTTGAGGTGTGTCTGACTCTCTGTAATTCCATTTGAGGTTTTCTTGGCAAACAAAAGATAACTGGAGAATTTTGCTATTTCCTTCTCCAGATCATTTTCCAGTTGAAGAATTGAGACAAACATGGTTAAATGACTTGCCTAGGGTCACACCGTTGTGTATCTGAGGGCAGATTTAAACTCAGAACTTCCTGACTCCAGGGTCCTACCTCTGAGCCACCTTGCTGTCCAAAAACAACAATAAATAAACTTATGTTGGGGAACCCAGAAAATTAAGTATTGCACAGCAACAGGACCTGGATTAGGACATCTTAATTCATCACTTTTTCTTTATATCACATTACATGTGCTCCACAAATTCAACTTAAGGTCATACTGGAGGACATATAATGGAGACAGCACTGGACTTGAAATCCAAAGACTTAGTTTTAGATACCTGCTGTGCCAATAATTTATAACCCTGGTCAAATCACCTCAAAATTTTAATCCTCTGTTTTCTGCTGTGTAAAATAGTATATTAACTTAAATACAGAAAGAAAGCAAAAAGAGTCGTTTCCATATGCACAGCACAACATAAAGAGATGATTCGAAGGGTCAGCTAGGTGGCAGTGGATAAAGCCTCTGAGCTGGAGTCAGGAGGGACCTAAGTTCAAATCTGGCCTCAGACACTTAACACTTACTAGCTGTGTGACCTTGGGCAAATCACTTAACCCCATTGCCTAGCCCCCTCCCCCCCCAAAAAGAGACAATTCAATGTAAAACCATGAATTTCCCTTTCAGACTGTTTCCTTTTTTTTTTAAGTATGTAATAAATACTACACATTGTTTTCTAACTACCCTGCTTTTCTGTGCTTTCTTGTAAGTTTTCTTTTGTTCTGTGCTGTGTACTTTTAATTTTTTGTCTATCTCTCCCCAGCCTGTCATAGCAAAAGCTACATTTAAATACGTGTGTGTGTGTGTGTGTGTGTATGCATATACATAACCCAAGCTATACATACTTCTGTTTATCTGTTCTTTCTATGGAGGTGGGTAGCATCTTCCATCACATGTCTTTTGTAGTTGGTTTGGGTATTTATGATACTCATGAAGAATTAGTCATTCAAAGTTGTGCTTAGGACAATATTTCTGTTACTACATGCAACATTTTCTCGGTACTAACTGCTCATTTTACTTTTCATTATTTCATGGAAATCTTTCTAAGGTTTTTTCTAAAATCCACCAGCTCATAATTTCTTATAACACAGTAGTATTCTATCACAGCAATTAATGATAACTTACTTAGCCATTTGCCGATTGAGGGGCGTTTATCATTTTAGACAACATGATAGATGTGAGATGATGTATCAAAGTTGTTTTAATTTGCATTTTTCTAATCAATAATGATTTAGATAATTTTTTTAATGTGACTATATATAGTTTTGATTTCTTCATTTCTTCATTAGCTACCTCTTCATATCTTTTGACCATTTATAAGTTTTGATATTTATTGCCTTATGAAGATTCGGTTCTCTTCAAATCCTTCTTTTACATTTTTCATCATATTTTGAAATTCTTGACCTTTTATTATTCCAAATTAATTTTGTTATTTTTTTTATAACTTAGTAAAATTATTTTTTAATAATTTATTGGGATGGCATTGGATAAGTAAATAAGTTAGATAAAATTGTCATTTTTATTATATTGGCGTTGCTTGCCCCTGAACAATTAATATTTCTCCAATTATTTAGATCAGACTTTATTTGCATAAAGAACATTTCATAATTATGTTAATGTAACTCCTGGATCTGTTTTGGCAAGTATACTCTCAGATATTTTATATTGTCTACAATTATTTTTAAAGGGGTGCCTCTTATTATCTCTTCTTGCAGGGTTTTATTGGTAATATATAAAAATGTTAATCATTTATGCAGGTTTATTTTATATCCTACTACTTTGCTAAAATTATTAAATGTGTCAACTAACTTTTTAGTTGAATCTTTAGGATTTTCCAAATTTATCATATCATCTGCAATAAGAGATACTTTGTTACCTCGTTTCCCATTCTGATTCCTCAATTTATTCCTTCCTTTATTGCTATTGCTAGCATTGAATAATATTGTTGACACATAATGTAGTTTCTTTTTTGATCTCTTTCAATTAAATGTATTTTAGCTTTTACTTTGAGATCATAATTGCTACGGCTGCTTTTTTTTTTTGCTAAAACATAATAAATTATACTCCAGCCCTTTAACTGTGGGTATCTCCCATTTTTAATTGTGTTTCTTGTAAAAAAAAAAACTATTCTCAGATTTTGATTTGTGATACATTCTGCTGTTTCCCTTTTATGGGTAAATTCATCCCATTCACATTCAAAATTATAATTACTAGCTATATATTTCCCACCATCTTATTTTTCCTCATTACTTATCCTTATTGCTCTATTTCCCTATTTTTTTCTTGAGTCTAATTTACTTCTAACCACTACCTTGCTTTCCTATTCCTCAATCTATCCACCCCTCTAAGAATCACTCCTCTATCCTCTCCCCACACTCTCTTAATTTTTTATTTACACATCCTTCTAAAAATCCCTTCCTGGATATTCTCAGAAATGTGGAAGAAATGTGCCAGAAGTAGGAACAAATACTACTTGCTGCCTCTCACTGACTTTGGTCTAATCTTATTCCCTTCCTTCCAAAGGGCCTTTAGGAATAACACTTGCTTATATCCACAGTTACATTACAATTTAAATTATATGCTTTTAGCATAAAATAATTTAAAATTGTACATAAGTGGTATATTTATCTGTTGCATTATATTTCTCAACAGGTGTGCTGATTTTTCATTTTTCACTCCATTGGGCTTCCAAATCAGTTGCTTGTTAACATCAAAGGAAATAAACTCCACTCTTTAAAAATGGAAAAAAAAATAAATAGAAAAATCCCTTCCTTATCTTATGTCTTTATTGTCTTGTTTCTTTATAAATTTCCAAGACTTTTATACCCTCCTTTTTGTATGTGTTGTTCCCTCTTTAACCCAGTTTTGATGAGATAAGTTTCCAAAACTACTATCCCTCTATTCCCACCTGCTCCTGCTGTATAGGTTCTTCCTTTCACACATCATTTGTATGAGATAATTACACCTTTTTATCTCTTCTTACCCAGTTTTATTTAGAATCAACCTATCATACTTAGCTAAGCCCAGGACTTTCTTTCAAACTACTCATGTAATAATCAGAGTCTTAAGAGTACTGAAAACATTTCCCATGGAAGAGACAACGAGTTTGACCTTATTGAGACCTTATAATGGGTCTTTAATGTTTACCTGATGTTTGTCCTGGATCTTATATGTTCAATTTTCCATTGTGTTCTATTTTTTTGTTCTTTTTTTTTGTCACAAATACCTGAAAGTCCTTCAGTTCATTAAATGTCCTTTCTTTTTTCATTTGGAATTATGCTCAACTTTGCTGGCTAAGTTATTTTTGGTCACAACGCTAGCTCTTTTGTTCTTTGAAATATAATGTTCCAAGACCTATGGTCTTTTACATAAAAGTTGCCAAGTCTTGTGTGTTCCTGACTGTAGCTCCATCATATTTAAAATGCATTTTTTCTTAACTTGTTGCTTGTAGTGTTTTTTCCTTAACCTGGCCTTTGAAACTTGGCTATGATATCCCTGTAAATATTCATTCTGGGATCTCTTTCAGGTGGTGATTGGTGATTTTTTTTTTCTATTTCTACTTTACCCTCTCATCCTAAAACTTCAGGGTAATTTTCCTTAATAATTTCTTATAATATTGTATCAAGATTCTTATTTTATCATAACTTTAAGGTAGCCCAACAATTCTTATATTTTCCTTCTTCAATTTTTTCTTCAGATAAGTTGTTTTTCTAATGAGATGTTTCACATTTTTTTCTTTTTTTTCATTCTTTTGATTTTGTTTTGTTACTTCTTGGTGTCTTACAATGTTATTAGGTTCCCCTTGCCTAATTCCAGTTTTCAAGAAGTTATTTCCTTCCTTAAGTTTCTGGATCCCTTTTTCTAATTGGTTGGCTTTCTTTTCATAGTTTTGCTTGATTTTATTGGATTGCTCTTATTTTTTTCTAACTTTTCCTCCATCTCTCTTATTTAATTTTGAAGTCCTTTTTTAAATTCTTCCAAGAACTCTTTTTGGGCTTGTGACCCTCGAACATTCTTTGAAATAAGAGTGACTTTTTTTTTAGCTCCACTGTCTTTTTCTGAATGTGAACCCAGATCTTCTCCATCCCCATAGTAGCTGTCTGTGGTTGGGTTCTTTCTCCTTTTTTTGTTGATGTTTCAACAGTTTATTATTGTATCATTATTGTAATCAGTCCTGTAATTAGTCCTGAGGTATCAGAATGGTGTCCCAGGCCTCAGGTCCTTCTTACTGTTATTTTTAGATCCCTCCAGGGCCCAACCTTGAGCACTCCTCTATGTGCCGAAGCCATGACTAAGACCCCCAGCCATGCTGTCCCAGAAACACTCTTGCTCTCTGTAGTCCCTCTCATGGCTGTGAAATTTAGCTCATCATTTTTGCCCTCAGACTGAAACCTAAAACCAGGAACTCTGCTCTCCTTCAAGTATCCACAGCACAGGGTTCTGATCCCTGTGTTACCACACTCAATGGGTATGTGCTTACTCCTCCTCACCCACAGCTGCAGCCTGGACTCTATCTCATTAACACACCTGTGCCTGGGGTCCAGTGACTGTGGAGGGTCCTTCACTCTTCCCCTACTCAGCTGTCTGACTCCCACACTGTCCATATGGTGAAAGTTTCTTCAACCAAGGCTGCTGTCTAACCCCAGGACTTGTTGTTTATTCAGTGGGTTTGCCTGAAGGTGTTTTCATTTTGATGGGGCCAAATCTCTGCCCTGTGGAGGCCAAGTCTTTCTTGAGGTCCCTTCAGGTGTTCTTAGGAGGACTACTGCTTTACCCTGACTTTTCTTTATTTCTGCTGTTCTATGTTCACTTGGAGTCAATATTTTGTCTTGTTTATAGGGGAAATTTGGAAATTTTGGAAAGTCTGACCTACTTCTTTATCTTCCCAGTATCCTCCCTGCCTCTTTATTCTTTCTGTATGTTTTAGAATCTAATGTATCTTCTCCCACATTTATTTCTTCTGAGTTCATAGTTGTGATTACACTCCTGAAAGGAACACATAGTATAGAAATCCCTCTACTGATACTGATTGGCAACTAATCTAAAATTTATAGTCTTAGATTTGTAGGGCATTGAGAAAGTTAGTGTCTATCTATGATTTTGTAGCTGATATAGGTCAAAGGCAGGGATGGAAACCAAGCCAAACCTCTATCAACTGTCAAATTGCTTCTCAGTGGCCTACAAATTTATAAAAAATTGGGAGGAGAGAGAACATTTTCATTAAGTACTTCCTCAAAAAGTTCAACGTTGTATGTTCTCTCTTTGATGAAAGCAAAATCCAAAATTTTTAAGCTATTTTGTTTTCATTTTGGATTTTTAGCTCAGTTTATTTAAAGATGATTGCACAAGACTAAGACTAAGAGTTTCATCCCTGAATAAGTTCTTTATTTTTCTATAGAAAGCCTTCCTCAATATTAGTCCATAGCTACATAATAACTCATTCTCTAGAAATCACTTTTCTGGTAATAACCCTGAGAAGTAGCATTTGATATTGTTATCATCCTCAATTTTTGTAGATGAGCAAGCTAAGGCTCAAGAAGGTAAGGGGAGAGATTTTGGACTTAAATTCAAATTATCCCTCTCCAAGAAGAATGCTCTTTCTTTTATGTAACAGTTTGATCTTTTACCATACTGTTGTAACTTCTGCCAGCTGCCTCAGTGGGGTACAAGGAACAAGAGCAAAGATGATTATTCAATCAAAACATTGCCACTAACATAAAAACATTTTTAAGTGAATGTCCTACTAAGGTCAGGTCAACAGGTAATCTTTGTACATAACGGACAGTACATTCATTTGGGGATAAAGCACAAAATATCCCCAAAGTAACTAGCTTTAAGATGAGTCTAATTAGACAGTCCCAGAAGTTTTATTCATGACACCCTAACAAAGAGAGAGGAAATGTTTCCTTCTTAGTATCTGAACTTCCAGTATGCTTTTTTTTAAAGCATTAACTGTCTTGTTAAAGTGAATGCAGCCAGCCATGCAATGACCATGCAATTTCAACTTGTAAATTCAATAAAGTGCAATGCTGTAAATCGGATCTGTCAACTTAACCCTCTTTGACTTATGTTGTATAATCATAGCTTTGAATAACCTCCATTTCAGTAAGAATTTTGTAGTCCGAGTTTAATTTGATCCCATGATGAATTTCATAACATTTTATACATTTTGTTTTTCTCCTCAAGAAGCAAGACACTTGAATGTATGTATGCACTCATATTCACATTCCCAGTCACATAAGGCTCACCCTTGTAATCTTAATGTATTCTGTGTTGTGTAAAAGCAGACTTGAAGGAGAAAAAATAGCTGGTAGATTGTGTAAGAAGAAATTTGAATGGAGCAGGAGGGAATTATATAGAGAAAGAAAATAATTTCACTTTAGGTATTGGAGGCCAGGGGATAAGGGAGCATTGACCTAATTTTCAAACCCATAAGTGTAACCTCAGTCCTAACAAGGGGACCATATGCCTGAGGCTGGACATAGATTGACAGCTCCAGTCCAATGCCAGTCACTTCAAAGCTGCCTCAGCCACTAGAGGCCTGTTCACTGACAGCACTTGAGAAAGATTTTTTTTTTCCCTAGCACCATTATGGGAAGCCCAGAAACTTTAGTCAAGCCATCTTATCTTAGGGCCAGGGGAATTCCCTTCATGTATCTTGGCAACAACATGACTCATATTTTTTCTATTACTCCCTCCACACTCAGTGCTAATATTAACAACATATTGTTGTGTCAGACCCAGAACATCCCAACAGTATCTCTAGTACCTTACCATCTCCCTCTCCATCACCCTATGAGCCACAGTTATAATTAGTAAAGATAGTGATAGTGTCATTACTCTTGAGGGGAAGAGAGAGAAAGGTGAATAATGTATCAGGTTTTTGAATGCTCTGCTCCAATAATGAATATTAAAATGCAGTTTTTCCCTCTATTTGTTGACATTGCAGAGGAATTCTCATTATTTATAATTATAGTGAAAAGAGATGGTAAGGTTATGGGTTTTGAGGGGTATATATATATATATATATATATATATATATATATATATATATATATATATAAATATAAAGATATAAGACTTCATTTCTCCAGCTAATTTGATGAGGAGTAGTATGACAGTGGAAAGCTCATTCATTATGGAATTAAAGAATTTGAATACTGGGTTTGCTACTTGCCACCTGTGTTAACTTGGACAAATCATCTGACTTCCATAAACCTCAGTTTTCATATTTATAAATTTGGACATTGGGCTAGAGAATGTTTTTCTTAGATTCTTTTTAGCTCTGAATCCTATGATCTTATTGTTACTTTATAATTCTTTTTCTGTACTGGTTCTGTTTTATTGAATATTGGCTAATTCAGCTATAAACATAATATGCATAGATTACTAAATATTAAAAATAGATATTGATGTTCCTGTTATTGTACATATACATTTCTTTCCAATTCTAAATCTTTGATTCTAACATCCCATTAAAACCTACTAAAGCCCCATTTGGACAGGAGAGTAAGCAAGTTGTCTTTAACCTCTCTGAATTTTCAAATCATTTGTGTATGGAGTCCTATACCTTTCTCATTACTCATAGCATCACAGATAGAAGACATCTAGGACACCTCCTTAAACTTATAAAAGAGGAAAACCTTTACCTCGGGATGGAAAGTGGCTTTCAGAACATTACACTGGTAGTAAGCATTGAAGGCAGAAATTTAAAGGAACCCAAGTCCT